ATTCATCTGACCAACCAGATAAAAAAAAAGTCATGTTTTTAATGAATATTAAGAATTCATACAATTGCTGTCATGAGACCTAACAATGAATGCACATTTTATTCTCAAGCATTCCTATATTAGAAAAAATCATGACGTTCATTCTCTGTGTCTTCGTGACAAATTCAGGGGTTTGGCATGAAAATTCATTCTTCTGATAAAAAGAGGGGAGAAAAGAACTAGTCTTGGTACTGAGTTCTCATCTTTAGGCTGCTGTTTTGGTCACATATATCCCTGGCTTTGCTAGTATATTTGTTTTAGTTAGGAGGGTCAAATAAGCTATTGCATTTATTCACTTAAAGAAGCATATACATATAAGAAGTGAGTATGAATTGATGCTTTTACCATCTGATGAAAATACAAGAGTAAAAATGAATTACATGGCTTTTGGAAAGGGAAAATCAAAGCTTAATTTTCCAAGTCCACCCAATGAAATTCTATGTATTTGTCTGTCATTTTCCTTTGGTTCCTTGTCACTTTATATAAAAGAAAGTTTCTTGCCAGGATAGAAAGATCTAGCCAGATACCAGAAGTTCACTTTTTTTGCCTCCATTTTGCCATAATTTTTTTTTTGTATCTCTGCTCTCACAGAGAGAGATACTAATCTCTGGTAAGTAAACTCTTCTCCATCTCATGTCATGAGAGGTGTACATGTATGTATCACAATTTTGGTTTTTCATATATAAACCTATCACACTAGAAACTTTGTCTAAACCTTAAACTTAGATAATAGAAAACAGTGTATTTCATTATTTTGCAGACCTCAATGGTTAATATGTAGTAGTGAGAAAAACAATATTGAAGAAGTATCCACAATATGTTTACAAACACTCTAAAGAGCAGTTCCAGTTTTTACACACCTTTGTTCTTGTTAACATCAGCATCAAAGTCCCCATGGGCCAGGACAAGATTTTAATTCATGATAATTCCTTGGGGTTTTCTGTTTTATCCTACACCAAAATAAGCTAACTTTACTGTAACTAGAGAAATAATATAGTAACATAAAATCAAAGATGGTATAGTCTTTATGTGTTTATCAGGCAAACAATGAGAACATTTTAATTGTGTTTTTACTTTCACTTTTTAAATGACATTCTGGCAGGAGAACAGTTATTTCATGTTTGTATTGTGTGCCTTTATATTTGGAAAAAAGAGTGAGTTGCTGTTTCTGTCCTGTCATTCATCACCTAATGAGAACCAGACTAACCTTGGAGATGTTAACATGCTCCTTCTGCTCAAAAGGTTTAGGCATGTAAGAATCTGGGGAGGAATTATAAATAGAGTATATTGTATGTAGCAATTCCTTTTTTCAGCACAAGAAAAGGAAAATTTGGGAAAGTTCCACTGAGAGAGCTCCTTTTGGGAAAGGATTATTCATAAGGCAAATATCCTCCCAAGGGTTTAGCCTGGCCTGGAATAGCAGATGTGCTGTGATAGCCTTAATAAGATGTCTGCACCCAAAAAAGTTTCCAAGTCCTTTTTTTCATCTAATTCCCATGGTGGCTTTTTAAAAGAACTGTCAGTTGACTTTACAACAGAGAGTTTTTTCAAAGTTGACAACACTGTTTATTGTGTCTGTGTGAAGAAAACAAAATCAACTTCTCATGAGTATTTCAGCCCTGGGGTCAATGAACCGAATTATGAAAATTACAAGTTTGAAAGTAAAGAAAGTTTGAAAAATGCTGAAGTGGCTTCAAGTACAGGAATGACCCTTCCCACAGGTGTTTCAGCCTTTCTCCTAGTGTTTAGATGTAGATTCAACTGTAGATTATAACACACATGCTAGTGATAGCCTGAATAGTTACCCATCCCCTGAAATAATCAGAGATGATGGTTCAGAAAGAAGTAATTTATATTCTATCATGTATGCTAAATGACACTTGTCATTTAAGAAAAGCAATGCTTTTATGTCAGTATTTTTTGCATTTGGCATTCTGATCCCTGCACTGATGTCCATGCAGTGCTCCACCCTAGACTAGTAGAAATCTGGACAGGCAGTTGTCACCTGTGTTTTTTGGAAGAGACAACATTCTCGTTTGCAAAGCTGGATGCTAAACACTGAGAAAATATCAGCTCGAAGGGGATTAATTTGATGGCCTTTACAGAGTGGTTAGGACCTTTGCTGAAGTCCAGCATTTTTTAATATGCAGAATATGATGTTCTGCCTTCAACCATAGCATAGTAACAATACAAATTACTCATTTAGTGCAAATTGGCCTGAAAATGGGTACAGGTGGTAACGTAGTTTATAATGTGCCAATGTTGCACTGAAGGGAAGACTCAGAGAGTATGAAGCTGTCAAGAAGACAATCATGAGATAGACAAACTGTGAATTTCTTGCTCCTTCTGGGGAGATATTACTTTTCAGTAGGGTGACTCACACAACTAACAGCTCATCACTGGGAATTAATAGCCCAACCCAGAGTGTGGACAATAAAGCAGGCCATTTCTGATGGCCTTTCGATTGCTTAATTTGCATTTGCTAGGCATTTTGAAATATATGTGCAAGTACTAAATATTGTTACAATGCATGAACAGAAATTAAAACTGGAGCTGGTATGCATTCATCTATTTTCCGCTGAAAGTGAATAGCTATTTAATAAATTATTAATAGTTATGTCAAGTAAAAGGCTCAGCTGCCTGAAAGTTGGAGGAACCTTTTTTAAGGTCACCTTTCTTTTCTGTCTCCACTATGAACACTCCATTCTTTGCCGCATAGTGCTACAACTATAAGGAAGTGGTTTAAGTGCTCTTTGGATGGGAATACATTTGAAAGTAGGTCTTCTACATCCACAGCAACATCTCCTTTCTTACACAGCGATGTAAAGAATGGTCTGGAAATTTTCACTGTATGTACTATGTTAAAAAGAAAAATACAGTAGAGCTTATACTACTTTTTTAAAAAATCCTATGCATCTTTGGGAACTAAGGTTTAAGAAATCTAAGTAAATTCCTTGTAAGATTTAGGCAGGAAGAGGCCTGGTTCTTGGTGCCTGTTCATGCCTAAGATCAAACTTGATGTCCACAGTCAGCAAAATTAAAACAGAAGTTCCTGTGTGAACAGGTACTCACGAACATTTTAGTAAAAACAAAGATGCTTAAGGATTAGGCAGTACTTGAGTGGGGGTGCATGCTTGCAATTTTTTATTAGATTCATTAATGCCTCCCACATCCTAGTTGAGCCTATCAAATTATGGAGTTCTTTATCCTCTGATTCTGTTATTCATCTCCTTATTCCACAAGCTGCATGACTTTATCAGAAAGAGCAGAGCAACTGTGCAGGGTTTCAGCTGTCCTCACTCAAGACTGAGGAAATATGTGCAAAGGCAGGGGAAGTTTACATGAATCCCTTTACTCTCCCATAGACTCACTTCCATGTTATTGTTAGAAATAGCCCTTGGCTAAGAAAATACATTTCCATTTTCCTTTTCTCCATGTTGTTGCAATGTTTCACGCAGTCTTCCTTGGTCTGGTGAGACAAAGTGCTATCACACTTGGATGAGATGTTATACGAGTTTAACTGTTCCTATTTTCTTTTATTGTCCCTTGTACAAGGCATTTAACACTGTATGAAGACCTGGATCAATACACCCTTCTTCTGTTATTTTCCAGTTCTCTTTTTTAATATTAGCGTGGAGTGCGATAGTCACAATCTGATGAATGGTAAAAGACCATGGGCAGTTAATCTTGTTGTTGTTGTTACTATTAACAACAGTAACAGTAATTTGTTTGAAGGGGTACCATAATTCAGTAGCTGTTTTCCAAGAATAAATAAAAGGGACAGCCCCTGACCTCGCAGACCAAACAAATAATTCAGGGAGATGGCACAACAAAAAGGGTGACTGCAGAAATCAACAATTTTCATTACCATCAGCTTGGCAAACAAGTATGGTGAGAGGAAATTTAAAAGTGGAATCGAAAGAAAATTTCTCGTAAGCAAGACAAAAGACAGGTTTTGTATGGAGTAAGGCATGGAGTTGATGTGAAGGATTGCCAGAAAGGCAGAAAGCAGTGAGAATATTAGGAGAATGATATGTTTGTGAACCCAAATGACCAGTTCCCTGCTGGTGTTTCTTCACCCTAGGACTTCTGAATTGCTCTTTTGTCTGTAATCGTGGGTAGAACACTTATTTATGCAAAAGTGTGCCTAAGAATCGTTGTTTATCACCATGGTTATACTGTCTGTGACACTCCAGGTTGTCCAAAGTAGAAATCATACCCAAGCACAAGCAGTTCTACAGATGTTGGCTAATTTATTGGGGACTTTTTCCACAAATGTTACCATGTTATTAAAAGACCTCCAGTCACTTTTTTGGAAACTATGCTGACAAGTTGCTTATGTGACAGAGACAGCCCTCTTTTCTCTTGATGGGAGCATATCACAGGCAGCTGCTCAGTACAAAGTTTTGTAAATAGATGGTCGTCTTTAATACTTTGGTATGATGAGTGTTCCATTCAGACCAGGATTAGAATATAGCACCGTCATTTAACATACATCTGTTACACTTCTGGCTGAGGATTCAGTGGCATTGGGTGACTCAAAACCCATCTCCAAGTTAGTGAATCAGGCTTTCAGAATGTGTTTATTAGCTAGACCTCACAAGGGTTTGTGGCATATCTCAACTTGAAGCTTGCTTTGTCTGTAAGGCAACTGGGATAGTGTTATGAGAAAATCAAAACAAAGTTAATTGTGAAGGTAATTAAGAACTTCAGAATGTCCAAATTGCATTCAAAAGAAAGGATATTAATTTTGTTTATTGAGTTAGAATTAGTAAAACGTGGAAATTTCTATTCATTAAGACTATGAGAGTATTCGGTTGTGGGAAAGAGACATCTAACATCTTTTTCCAACATGGACTGTGGAAGAATATGTAACAGAAAAAGCAAATGTTCAGTTGCAGCTGTGAAATGGAATGGGTGAAACCTAAATTACTGTGCTAATAAGTGTACCATTTGTGCAGCTTCCACAGATGACAGTGCAGCAGAGAAGAAGGGTGGAACGCTTCATACCGGCTTGATTGTTGGCATTCTAATCCTGGTCCTTATTGTGGCTGCAGCCATCCTCGTGACTGTCTATATGTATCATCATCCAACGTCAGCAGCTAGTCTCTTCTTTATAGAGGTAAGGCAAAAGTAACATGTTGTGCTGCTAGTCTTGTCACTCGGTATAATTGAGGTCTCTAGAATAGAACTTTCTTAACTAAATCTAGAATGTATTCTTGTGTTCATAATGTAAGCTTTGAAAAAATGGACCAACCTCACCTCTTTTGTTCTTAGCAAGTTTCTCACTCAGCTGCTTCTGTAACAACTATTGTTATTACTTTTTTTGTGTTTTTACACAGTACGTTTATCTAAAAAATACATCTCAGATACCACTTCACTTCTCTTTCCTATTCTTCATCTTCATCACAGCATTTTTCCATTAGCTGTCATGGGCACTGCCATTTTATTTCAGGACATATATATTTTTCAATTATTTTCCTGTGGCAAAATAAAATGTTTGCATTCATTAATTACCCAAAAGAGCTGACTTAAAATAAGTTTTTACCTGGAAACATGGGTTAGGTGTTCCATACATTCATTTGTAGTAATCTTTTAACACTTTGCCCCAAAGTGTGGGAAAGATTCTTTTCACCTAATTTTAACATCTAAACCTAATCTAATCTTATCTCCCTTTACTCTTTTTATTAGTGTGGAGAGAAACACACTCTTTTATATGATGAATAATCTGACTTATCTGGGACATCTCTTTTAGGATTAGATAAATCAACTTTTTTCTCCTTCAAATATAGATAACTTCCTTAAGTGCAGACGTCTATATTGCAGTTCCTGACATTTAGCCTGTTCAACTCCACTATACATGACAGTATGAGACGGGAATATTTTCCATGGGTGTTCGATTCTTCAAAAAGCTCTGAATGCCTTCACTTGTGTTTTTTATAACTCGTCAATGTCCCTCTACTTCTCAATAAGTATAGTTGTTAAACATGAAAAAACCCAATAATTGTTCATAACCCCAACCTGCAGTACTCCCTTACGTTTAAGAGCCTGGGCACTTTCTGATGGGCAACATGCAGAACCACTGGAAGTGTCACTAGGGAATTACCTAGGGATTGTTTAGGTAAAAGCCTGGACCAGGAAGATATAGACATTCATTCTTACTGACAGCAGTGTGAATTGAAGTGAGACATGAACATGAACAGAATGATTAATCTTTAAAATCATATTATAATAAATATACTGCTTGGATTAAATAGTAGTGACAGAAATCAAAATGAATTGTTTATCAGTATTCCAAGTTCAAGCGATGTAACTGTGTTAACCATCAGGGACCAGCATCCATGTAAAAAAATCAATAGTTTTCTCTTATGTCTATGCGACATTTCAAGCCAGTTCTCTATTGATGTAGACAAGAAAACTCTCTTTTTTTCTTTTTTTTCCACACAGGGATTGAACTACTATTCTTTCACTCTAGTAAAAACAAGTTCCTTATCTGTTATGATGTGACTGAAATGGCTGAGTAAATGGCAACACCATTTTTTAAGTAGGAGAGGAGAATGCCAAATTAAAACACATTTATTTATTTATTTTGTCAGTGTAGTCATGGCATGTTAATTTATTTTATCCATTGATATCATAGTCATCATTCAAACAGTGGTGCCTTAATCGGTTTTGTTAAATACATTCTACTGAATTTAATCTTCAGGTGGCATTAATCAATCTTTGCAGTCAGAGCTAGAAAGTCTTTTATCAAGCAATGTAGGCTCTTAAAAAAATAGAAAAACACAATCTTTCTATTTAAAATAAAGGAGAAATAATTAAATAAGAATCCAGGGAAGTGTATTAGGTAAAATCAAATTTATGCAAATATGGTATGAACTATATCCTCTTTTGGTTACTAAGACAATTGTGATACTTCTTGAGAATCAGGCATTTAGCAAGAATTATAAAAAGTTCTAGCCGTGTGAGTGGTAAAACCACAAAGGGTGGAGAAAGGGATTACTCTGTATTTCAGAACATTTCCAAAACTTTAAAGCCACTCTTGGTATCATAAGCATAAAAGAATAGAATAAGGTAATCCATTCTGGAAATGAAGTTGCTTTTTAGAAGTTTAGTCATTTAATTTCCAAAGGAAAATAATTTTTTAACCAATTCAAGAAATAGAGTAGAATATATTATTCTTCTATTCATCTGATCTATAGTATGTACATGTTTCCAATACAAAGGAGAATGTATCTTCTCAGACCTGCATTTTGAAACTGAAGTGGAAAAAAACACTGAGGCATAACTGGTATAAATAGGTTACTGTTATAGAAAATCATTCCTTATTTTATTCCTGCGGTTGAAAAATATTTGAGTAAGCTGTTACAGATAACATGGTACCCCATATACCACAGCAAACAAGCCGCATTATTTATGGGAAATGAATGAAATGTGGATCTGATGTTACCATTCTGGGGAAAAAGCTCAAGAGGATTGCCATGGGCTTGGTCATGAAATGAGAACAAGCTCAAACATATTTCAGAAAATAATATTGTTTTGTATGAATCTCTTGTTTAATAAAACAACTTGTGCTGTTAAAACAAGATGTGACAGATGGACAGGCAGCTCTCTCACGCAGTTGTCAAAAAAATTACCAGTACACTGTAGTCTGCCATCAAGTCTTCTACTCAAATCAAGATCTGCATCAGTTTATCTACCATCAGTAATTAATATAAATCTGAGGCTGGGCAAAGTAAAGAATGGTGACCTGACCCAGCTGGGTTTACTTCTAAAGAAGCTCTTTTATAGAGACATACTTTATAAAGGTGTCATACGGACATGAAACATAGCACTCATTCAAAACGTTAACACAACTAATAGAGAAACTTCTTTTTACATCTAAGATTCTATGGTGCTTTCATGGTTTTGTAGGTAAAGGATCATTTTTAGCCAGATTCTGTTGGTGCTTTTTAGGTGAAGGGCTATGTAAGGAATTTTGAGTTGATTTGGTATATAGTCATGACTGGTTACTGAGTAAAGAAAAGTATAATAAACTAATCCCGTATCCTGTATATAAGGCTTTAAGTCTTTTTCTCCCTTGTGTTCTCTGCAGACATCAACTCAATATCCGCTTACCACCTCACTCTGGTTTTCACTTTCCTCATCTGAAATCCCACTCGTGATGCCCCTCATGTTTGTCATGTAGAGCCTTTTCTCAGTGAGTTACCCTAGAAAAGGGTAACTGCATCCACACTTTGACTGCACTGTTCAACTTTGCACTGATAAATGCAATCCCTTGTGATACCATTGAATGATATCCTGAGTGCACAAGTTGGTTGAAATAAGCCATACAAAAAAGCCAAGAAAAATGGCATTTATTCCAAAAGAAACTACTGTTTTAGAACAGAGTAATATTATTCTATGATTTTTTTTACCCCTAAAGTCTGAAGAAAACTTTTTCTCTAGTGGTTTTGTTCATAGCTATTGAGTACAACACATATCTGCAGCCCCACCTGGAACAAAAATAGCTATTTTGAACAAATAGCTTAAGAATTCTTGAATACAAATGCTATTCAATTTGCCCATTATAGTGTATAATTTTAAAAGAATACTATCTAAACAGTTCAATACTTTTTCAAACAAAATTCCCATTTTCTTAAGTGTGTAGAAGATTCAAATCAAAAAGTGATGTTTTCCTGTTTCTTTCAGCCCCCACACTATTCAACATGTGGTTCATTGTTTAAGTTGGACACTTCTCTGGTGACCTAAAGACAGAATGAATTATCAGCTTCTAAAGTTAAGGGACTTCCAGTCAAAGTTCCAATGAATGTAGGATCTTTCTAAATGCTGAGAGTTAATGTTGACTAAAAATTAGCTTGCAGGGTGACAGAAGAGATGCTGTGTGCTTGGTCTTTCATTTATTTATGGTTATCCCTGTGGTATTTTTTCTCCCTTTAATTTGATTTTATTGCCAGTAATTTCCCCTTTTGAATCAATTTACATGCCTACTCTTACTTTTAGGATGTAGCAAACATCAAATGGTGGTCTTCACGTCTTTTTCAACAAAGCAGAAACTTTTGTTGGGAATCCACATATACCATGCATAGCCACACACTAGCTATACAACAATTAAACAGTAATTCACTTATTCACTAACCCGTGTAATATGCTTGCGTTGGGGATTTGCAGTTTGGTGGCCAAGAAGCCAAGCATGATGCTCCAATTGTAGTGGACAGGATGCCTGTGATACAGATCGTAGAAAAAGTGATATAGATATCTGGAACTGAATGTAAACAGGGGTACAGAAATTCCCAGGTGAGTCAGATGGATTTCCTCAAATTTCATTGAGACATGGGCCAAATAGCAGCGTTAGTAGTATTTTAGATTTTACTTCTTCCCTTCTTTTACTTCATGTTCCTTTTTCTTATATTTTTAACCTTTATTGAATCTGCATTTGTGTGTGAACTTTGGGACTGAGCAATTAATGTCCAGGGAACATTTAGCAAATAATAAAGCAAAGCATAAGGCAGACTGTCTTTTCTTACTTATCTGTTGGTCGCAAGTCAATTTAATGTTTGAAACTTGCCTTAGGTGTCATCCCACTGGTCTGCCTTTGAGGGAACCAAGGCAACATGACCTGGCCACAGCTCAGATGGAATTGCTGGCCAATGGAAGGCAGGGAATCAGACCTTGTGCTGTCTTTTCCCAGCTGGGCAGAGAGATACCATTGCCAAAAGTGCTTATGTAAGGCTCCACAACAGCAGAATGAATTTTTTCTGTGGCCGTTCTCTGTGGGTAGGGAGTTTTGAAGAGTCTAAACTAACATTGCAAGTTGGAATGATCGTAACCTCAGGCAAAGAGCCTTCCTCTTGTGTTCGCTTATAGGTACAAAACCAACTCCAAGTTATTAACTCATGTAGACTCTGAAGCTGTAGGGATATGAGTGAACTCAAAGCCTGTGTATTTCGCAATAGTGGCAGTGTATGTCATAATGGTAGTTACTGTGCCACACACTGAAGAGCAATGTGGGTGTTTGTGGTTACAAGTTAGTGCTGTAATGGGGCTGGGGATTTAAATGTGGTGTCACCAAAACTAGCACCCAGTTGCCAAAGCGAGCAGCTTCAGTGCTTGTGGGATCTG